GCAGGGAGCCCGATGCGGGACTCGATCCCAGGACCCTGGGATCATGACCTGAGCCGAAGGCAGACGCTTAACCATCTGAGCCACCCAGGCGCCTGCCAACTGAATATTTTAAATAAAAGTTACTGAAGAGAGAGCCCGTGCAAGAAGGACACTCGGACCCTCCTCCATCCCCCTGAAAGCAGGAAAGAAAATCTCCCATGTGAAAGGTACACTCCCTGGACAAAGTAGATATCTTTATCACCAGAACTGGAAATTTAGAGCCAAGAAGGCTGTATAAACAACTTTTGTTACTTTTTACTAATTTACTAACCCAGCCCAAATACAGTTTAGAATTCCTTACTAACTGAAGCTCCCAAGGTTATCTTTGTCCTGTCATTCCTCATAGATTTATCATCTCTTTGTCGAAAAAGTATAAAAACTGCCTGCTTGGTCATTTCTTTAGGTCTCAATTTCATTATTGGGCCTCTGTGCACATGTAATAAAACTTTGTGGGTTTTTTTTTTCTTCCGTTAATCTGTCTTATGTAAATTTAATTATTCAGCTAGAACCTTGGACAGAGGAAAATTTCAGTACCATTACTTAGTCATTTAACCCATTACCAGTACCATTACTTATTTAACATTAGACTAGCTCTATTTTTTTTTTTGCTATTACAAGTGATGTAGCAATGAATAAACATGTACATTTTATTTTGCAATAAGCAAGTATATCTATAAGATAAATTCCTGAAATGGAATTTCTGGGTGAAAAAGCATGTTCATTTGTAAATTGATAGATGTTGCCAAGTTGCCCTTCATAGAAGTTGTACCAATGCACATACTTACCTGCAAAGTATCAAAGTCTTCTGACCTTTCTAAAATGCATGTACAAAGGAACTAAAACATATATGTAGGAAGTAAGAGACAACTTGATATGACCCTGTGAGCATAGACCAATTGGATTTCTTGTTGTTCCTTTGCCCTCTGTTGGGTAGATAATTTGGATCGCTTATATATGTTTAAAGTTGTTTCACAATTCTAAAATAGAACATCACATTAAAGATGTTTCTAATTTAGGGCGCCTGGGTGGCTCAGTTGGTTAAGTGACTGCCTTCGGCTCAGGTCATGATCCCGGAGTCCCGGGATCGAGTCCCACATTGGGCTCCCTGCTCAGCGAGGAGCCTGCTTCTCCCTCTGACCCTCCCCCATCTCATGTACTCTCTCTCTCTCATTCTCGCTCTCTCAAATAAATAAATCTTTAAAAAAAAAGATGTTTCTAATTTACAAACTATTACTGAGCTGCATTTCAAACTGTCAGAACCTCATGAAAAAGTTGGTAGATTTGATGGTGGGCTTAATCATTGTTTTTTTTTTTAAGGTTTCAAATTTGATAACCCTATATATTAAATCCGCAGCTTGGGAACTTTTTGGTTTTATATTCCTTTACTCTCTTAAACATTATTGAGAACTCCAAAGAGCTTTTGTTTATTTACCATATTTGAAGGCAAAACTGAAAAAAAATTAAAATGATTCCATGTTAACATAAATAATATTCTTATGAAAAATAACTATTTAAAAAATTAGTGAGAATAGCATTGTCATATTATTACAAATCTGGCTTAATAGATGATAGCTGGCATGGTACCTCATGCAACCCAGTGGAACATTTCCTGTGGACTGGACTTCTATGATGCAACATTTCCTGCCCTGCCTTGACACAAGATATGTCTTCTCCCTACCCTCCTTCTCTAAAGCCCCACCCGTTTCTAGGAGATGATGGGCAGTGCAGTTTCACAGGCTCTCTGTGAACTGGTTTTCCAAGTCCAGCTCTAAACCTAGTGTTCAAATAGGCTAAAACTTGGATGGGTCTTTGTGGATCACAGAGTCCCTGTTAGGGCATCTTGCAGAATTCCAAGTGAATATGGTAGCTGTATTAGATTTCACAGAAGGGACCAAAGGGACCATATAATGGTGTGATTGGGGTGGCGCTCAGGCTTCATGTGCCCAACCTACACCCTAAGAATCAAATTCTAATGTCCAGTGCTGACTACAGCTCTATACACCTACATTAGAGGCCAACATATTACATAAAGACATCTGGCTCTCTTACCACTAGATTACCCTCAAGAGACTAATTGTGTTTACTGAGCGAACAGATTTAAGGGGCTAGAAGAGCCATACTGAGTGTAGTATGTATGTAGTATGTAGTAGTATGTAGTACATGGGAAACATAGAAAATCAGGCTCATTCCCCAGCCAGAGCCAAATGTAATACAGAGGATCAGAGCTAAAGCCAGAACTGGAAAGGTGGCAACACGTTTGCATAAAACTGGTGACCCTTGGCCACCTATGTGGGCAGATCAGCCAGGAAATTGAGAAATGCCCAACAGTGGAATTATGTGCTGGCAGGAGAGAGTCAAATGAGGTTTGACGTCCATTAGACTGTTCCTGTAGTTCCTGCGGAAACTGCTCAGGAGTAAGGACCCTGAACTGGGAATCATTTTGAAGTGGAGAGAGAATGTTCAACTCTACAGTATTAACTACAGTCTGCTTCTCCCTCTCCCTCTGCTGCTCCCCCTGCTTTGTGCTCTCTGACAAATATATAAAATCTTAAAAAAAAAAAAAAGATTGAAACTTGAGATTACATCACAGCTGAAAGACTAGGGATCAATATCCTTTATAAAATGAATTTTGAAGCACATGGATGAAAAAGGAAATAGATTGGTGAGCACATTTGCTATAATCATAAAAACCAACATTATAGCCTTCTTTCATATTAACTTTATTAGTATTTATAAAATAAAAACAATTTATGAAAATACTTTCAAGATATAGAAACTACAATCTTTGCAAAATATACACACCCATAATTGTTACAATACACATCCTTGTATATACCTTAGACATTATAAAAGTGTTTTAAGAATGACACCCTGTAAAAGTTGAGAGAAGAAACATTTTCTTCAACCTTGGTATATATTGTGACATTCAAGTACTTAAACCACACACTGTTGAAATAAAACATGTCTCTAGTGTACAGGCCCAAAGGGATTTAACTCTCAAAGTCCCATAGGTTCTTTTATTGTGCAAGGTAAAGAACCAGGAGAGGGTTCCCTGAGTTAATTTACCTTAGGTAGCTTAAGCAGTGGTTTACTTTCCATACTTTGTCATGGAAATAAGGGAAAGGAGAAGGCCATGGAAACCCATCTTGGGCAGATCCCCTTCCCAGCATCTCTATCTGTGCAGCGTGGCTCCTACATGAGGATTTCTAATCTTTGAGCTCTAAAATGCTCGGATTCTGTAACTCTCTAAGACCTTCACAAAATGATGCTTCTGCAACTCTAAAAACTCCAAAAATTGTGTATTAGGCTAAAGTTATAATGATAGTGTGACTCCCCTAGGTAGACCTCATTTAGAGTTTGTCAGGTGGGAAGCATTTGGGAAGATCAGCAAGCTAAAAATTTCCTTTTGGAACTACTGGAAAAGATCCTTTCTCACCAAGGCATAAACCTCAGAAGCCAAGCTCTTTCTTTCTTTGGAAGAATTATGATGAAAGGGAGAGAAAGAGCCTATAATCTTTCAAATCTGCAGGCTTAAGATAATAACAGATGCTAGGTTGGACAGTAAGAGTTGGAAACCATCATAGCTTCACCAATAAAGGGTTCATTGTGATAAAGAATCATTTGCGTGTACTCTCTACTTCCTGATTAACCTCCCAAGCCTTCCTAAATATTACATTCTCTCTTTAACTGCAGAGTATTGGCCTGATGAAGTTCCAGATAAAAAATGCTGTTTGAATTCATGAAGTTAGTATCATGATGCAGCACTGACATTTAATACCATACTGATATACTAGAATTTAACAGTGAATTTTTCTGTTCAAGAAACTACAAAAGTCAATCAACCATGAATCCATGTCTTTACATTTAACAAGTAATATGAAGCATTATTACATATAATTCCATAAGGGAAAAGGACTATAAAAATAAGTTTAATAGGACTGCTGTATTTTAAAGTTGTTTTAAAAAAATATATGCCAGTCTTTTAAATATTTGGTGTAGAAAGGATAAGGGAGGTATCTATTAGGGTGATCCATAAGAAACTATGGTTTTTTTTAAGTTAAAAAGGTAAAATTTCAGCAATTTTATATAGTTCAACCTAATAAAATCCTGAGAAAATTTTATTTGGCATCACACTATAAATTCAAAGAGAATTTATAGAAAATCACATTTCTAGTGAGGGGAAAATACTTCAGCATGGAAATGTGCACATTGGTTATGCCAAGATTTCTCTCTTGTGGTTTAAAGACCTGAAACCTTAGAAAGTTAAGAAAAATGTAGTGCAGTTTCAAAAAAACAAAGGACAACTTAAAATTATAGAATGATAGCTACAGTTGTGAATGCCACTGAACAAACTTCTAGTCAAACCTGGTGATCAAAAACTTTTTTTTTTTTTTTAAAGTTTACATATAAAAATTCTGGCATCAAAATGAAAAGGCACTCATATGGGTTAAAAGAATGATAATCATTTATAAAAGCCTTGAAAATAAGGCTAATTCATTTGTATTATTAACACCATTAAGTAGGCACCTTTTCCAAGTGTCAGCTTTGGCCTCCTAAATGGAATTAGGTTTCAAATGAATTTCCAACATAATACCAGTTATAGCAGCATTATAATCAGTAAGTTTCTTAGCCTCTACACTGCTAAAAGAGCATCTAAAATTTCCTACCCACCTATATCCCATCAGTACCAAAAATACACTTTAAAAAATTACATATATTTATACCAGTCATAGAACATTTTGCAGTTTTTTTCCAACTAATGATTTGTCCTCTTACTGATGCCACCCCAACAACAAAAAACCCAAAGAGAAACCAAAACCAAAACAATTGAGAAAAAAAAATTGCTAGACCACACTGGTTAATTCTTAGCTAATTAAAGACATACCATATTCAAAGATGGTACTTTAATTATGAAATTTATTAAGTATAATCAGTGAAGGAAATGCAGATTTTCCAGGGGTGTGCACGTGCGGCGTGTCCGCACTGGGGGACCGTGCACTCAGCAGCAAAGCCTCATTTGGAACCCTGGCACCATTTCCGCACGGCCGCGCCCGTGCTACTGGCTATGACGCACAGGGCCCCGCCCACTGTCCACCACGTGGGCACATCGTGAAAGAAAATAATCTGGAAGATGAAAGCGAAGACCACATCCATAGTCTTCATTATTGCCACTGGCCCTGCTTTTTCTATTTGGATGGCTTTCGTGAGAAACACCTGACCCCCCAAACCAAACAAGCCGATGAGGATGAGAAACAGCCTGTCCAACCCGCAGTAGGGCAGACTCCATTCCCCGATGATGAAGAGGACAATGATGCTCTCCAGGAGGCCGAGGATGACGTAATACCAGATGCTCAGGAAGTAGTCCACGGACTTCCCCATCTTTCTGAGGATGACCAGGGTCAGGGCGGCGAACACGGCGTGCGCGACCGCTGCGATCGTGCCCTTCAGGTGAAGGGAGTAGCTTTCGCCCCTGCCCGCGGCACTGGCGCCAAACAGAAACGGGGGCCTCACTATAAGGATCACGCCAGTGATGGTGAAGACGGTGAAGAGGCCATCCCAAGGGCTGTATTTCTCCTTGAGAAATATGCAAGCAAAGATAGATGTGAACACGGGCGAGCTAAACGTGATGACAGTGGCGTCGGCGAGGGATGTTGCCTGGAAAGCGTAGTACAGTAGGATCATGGAGGTAGAACCCAGGACTCCTCTGAGCAAGAGGAAAATTCGTTGACCCTTGGGGCCCATAAACCCAGTTCTGTAAATTCAAATGGAGGAACACACATTAAACCAACTTGGTATTTGTTTTTAATATTGCAATTCTTGATTAAACATTATTTTTGAAGTCCTGTCAAAAAATAAGGGACTAGTAAATTAATTATAATGCCCACAACTGAATAGTATACACCTTTAAAAAATGGTATCTAATTATAACTAAAAACATGAAAGTGTTCACAGTATAAGCAAAAATAGCAAAAGAGAACTCCATAAATAGTATAATTATAATTAAGCAAATCTAGTTTTTCCTATGTCTATACAGGCTTGCAAACAAGACAAAAAGGAAAATGTACTGAAATGTTCACAGGGGGTAAACTTTAATAGGTAGACGCATAGATAATTTTTCTTCTTTATTTTCCCCCAATTTTCTACAATGACAATACATGATTTTTATAATAAATACAATTTCAAGATTAAGCTGTCCTACATAAGAAAACTTGGTCCTGGCTAGTATGCATTGCCAATCTTACGAGTTTTTCTATAAAAGCTGAGGCAATGCTAAAATTTATTTTAGCCATTGACTGTGAGACAACTTTTCATTGTTCTTTGCAGGAAGAGTTAAAATATACTGAAAAAGAACATATAGCATTTGGCTAAGTATAATAACTGCCACTCAATTTTCTTTTTATTAAATCTTTACCAAGCAGAGTGCTGGGTACATGTCAGGGTAGCACAGCTTGCTGACCTGGTGTCAGCCCTGAGCATCTCTCTGAAGGCTAGTCTGTAGGCCTGACATAAGGACTCCTGGGTTTCTGGAGTTAGAAATGAAAGCGTAGGTCACCTTTGACTCATACCTTGAAAATACCTGGAATACCGTATCATCTTCCATGATAATGAAACATAAAATAGGTCAAAACAGATTGGTGCTAAGGATTTAAAAAATTCTTCCAGTGCCTTCCCCTGCCAATTCTTTTATTATGGGGACGATAATTATGTTAGCATCAGTGGTCTGTTACCACCCTTAGAAATTTCTGAAGTCTCACCATCATTTCCTAAAATATTGAGACTTGTCCACACTTACACAGGAATTTCTGACAATATTAATTAGTAAATTTTCACCTTTTTCACCAAATCCTCAGGATACGGAGTAAAACTATTCCAAATGCATCTGTACTGTGTTACAGATACAAGGAGACTTTGGGGGCACACGACTGAAGCATTTAGTTTAGGGTTTAAGCCTTTTTGCCCAAAGAAAGAAAGAACCAGACTGCCACCAGGCATCCACCTGGTCTCTTCTCCAAGGCTTCCAAGTACACAGGGGTGGGTAGAGGTTATAACGGTGTGAGAGAGGCCTAATTTTAACCTTGGAAAGGGTGGGGAGGGGGCTGTATGGAAGGGAAAGAGGTGCTGGGTAGGGACAGGAAAGATGGGGAATATAGTCTTCAAATACTGTTGCATTCTGCATAAAGTGCTCTGAGCTATAATCAATTTTATTTGGCCCTTGCAGCCAAGGGGCCAGATAGAAAACAAAGAGTATAATTCCTTCCAGTTCACAGATGAGGACACTAAATATGAAATGATTTAAAAAGGCCTTGCTCAAGATTACCTTATCCCTTTCCCACCTCACCCTAGGGGGAAGACCTGGATATTATTACGGTAACCTTCTGTTTGCCCTGATAACAGAGCAGCCCATTCTACTTAAAGAAACATGGATATTAGGAGGCACCACAACTTTTTCTCATTTACTTTTTTCTTCTAAATACCAGTTACGCCAAGGGAAAGAAGGGAGGGTGGTACAAGATGGAGGGAATTGTGTACAAGGAATGCTTTGTTCTCAAAATGGGGAATGGAGAATAACTGAATCTCTTTCCCCTCCTTCGCTGGGCATGTGGTTTGTGCTTGTGAGAGCATCTTCTGTGGGTGGGTCCTTGTGACTTTTTAGTAATCAGAGCCAGAGGGTGTAGGAACTGGTAAATCTATGGGAAGGATAAAGCAGCCACTATAGAATAATTCAAGCAGTTCAAAAGATTTACAAACATTTGTTAATACCTTCTACTTTGCAGATAAGAAATACTTACTTTCTGTATATTAAGCAAGGGATAATGACTAGCATTTGGAACACACATCGGAATGCACTAATTTCTACAGCATGGACGTCTTGCACTTTTTTAACAAATAAAGAGGCCACTGAGAAAAGGAAGGCGGACAATAATGTATAAAACAAGCCAAGTCCAGGACAGGGTGCTTTCTTCTTGGCTTCTGAAAAAGATTAAGTTCTGGTTAGTCCTTGCTTCCAAGTATATGTTTTATTATTTTCACTTAGGAATTGAGAAAAATGGAACAGTGTTAATGGCTAACAGGCTACCAATGCTACTTCCTAAACATATCCATTTTCTGGACCTGAACCACTTCCCCACCAAGAATGAAGAATCATTGAGGAAAGCAACAATTTAAACCCATAATTTTTAAATGCAGTTTTACCCGATAAAATGGATTTCCTTTGGCTCACTGAGGAATCACCCCTCACTTACAAGTCAAAAAAGTAAAAATGCTTGCCAAGACGGTGAGAGAAATCTTTAAGAAATGCTTGTCAAGATGGCTAGAGAAAAATGCTTCCAAGTGATAATTTATAGCATCTCACTGGTGAACCAGGCTTTATGAAGGAAGTGTTCTTTTCTGGACAACAGTTTATAGCTGTGTCATATGGCTACTTGTTGATTATCTTACTTCCCCCACAAGCCTGTGAACTCTTCCAGGCTGGGACCTCACTGTCTTGTTTATGCCTGGCTCATGGAAGACCCTGATTAAGTATTTGCTGAATGAAAGAATATGAGAGAACTTCATGGAAAGATGCCAAGTCTAACACCACTGGCGACAGAAGGCTCTCTGTTTTGTTATTTTGAACCGTTAATCAAATCTTTTACTTTTCATGGTTTATGACTGATCTTCCGCTTAGAGCATAAACTCTTCGAGGGCAGGGGGCTAGGGTATCTACCCCTCTGACCTCAAAGTGCTTTAAAACGAAATTTTTTAAAAATTAGAACTGTCGTTAAGCACCAACTTCTTGGCTAGCTCTGAATCAGGAAACTTCCGCTTTCTCTAAAGCATCACATATTCAATCCATTAGTGACAGTCTGTATGAGCATTAACGTCTTGTTTCACCACCTCCTCTATCTTAGTTACCTAAGACAGGAGTAGAACCTGTTTTCATTCTCATACCCCCTCCCCACCCCACCATTCAGAGGGGAGCAAAAAGGGACAGGATGAGCAGAGAACTCCCTAAAAGACAGGTGACTCACTGAAGGATATAGTAATATTTTTTTCTTTTTTGAAACGAATACAGAAACAAGAAGAGAATAAGAAGGAAACACTACTGGCCCCCATCAGTTAAGAGTATAGCAAAACAGAAGGGTGTATTGTTTGGGCACTTGCAATTTATAGTAAAACTAGGATCACCATTCCAGTCTAGGAATTTATAATGTGTTACTCAGCTATAGAACAGTATTGCGTAATAATGTTTTTTAAAAAAATGCCCTCCTCTGATAAATGCAAACACCAGGTAATACATTTCAACATCCTCATAGCCGTGAGATACCTTTGCCCATGAGTGACAAACACTTTGTGAATTGGGACCAAAGTATGATGATGCACAATATTTCCAGGAGCATTCTACAGCCTGACGTGTGTAGTAAAAGATGCCACTGTGGTCAGGGGCCTCTCCCTTTTCCTGTTCCAGGTGTACAGCCGAAGAAAATCATTTGGAGCTAGCGGTCGTCATGTCAAGGGTGATAGGTTGTAAGTGCCAGAATCCTCCACATTCTGTTCACTACTTATGTGCTCAGATACCACAGAAACAAACTGCACATACTCAGCCCATGAGAAGGAAACTTTAGAAGACTTCCAAGTTAAGCACCACAAAATACATGCCTTGGCTGTGGTCAGCCTGAGAGTTCAGCTTCTGAAATTTCAGAGTTCAGGTCCAAATAAAATAGTTTTTCTTAAAAGAAGCCCAACTCATACATAGAACCTACACCCTCAGACAGAACAGGAAGATCAAGGACAGAAAATATCTCCCTGGTCTATATTTCAAGGATCTTCTCCAACCTAAACTTTTAAATTTTTCTCCAGGAATATTTTAACTTAACAAGATATTTTAACTCTTTTAAAACTTAATTTTACCCCCCTGGTTCTGATTATCTTGTCTCTTTTTTTTTTAAGATTTTATTTATTTATTTGAGAGAGAGAGAATGAGAGATAAGAGTGCACGAGAGGGAAGAGGGTCAGAGGGAGAAGCTGACTCCCTGCTGAGCAGGGAGCCCGATGTGGGACTCGATCCCGGGACTCCAGGATCATGACCTGAGCCGAAGGCAGTCGCTTAACCAACTGAGCCACCCAGGTGCCCCTGATTATCTTGTCTCTTAAAACATAGTCACTCACATATTTTCTTGCCTATAAACACTTAAGGCCCATGATTGCTGACTGGGACAGGGCAGTTCTTACAAGGCCTGGCTCTACTCAGGCAGACCTGTCTCTTACGGAACAATAATTTCCATTCTGCCAATGGAGATGAACAAAAGAGTAGCATAATCCAAAGAGGCATTTGCTTATGTAATGTGCTTCCATGATCATATTCCACTACAAGCATAGCTAATAATTTGGCAACTCTAAATAATTCAGATTAAGTAAGTGGCCACAGTGCAATTTCCTAAATTAGAAGAAAACTGAAAAGTTGCTCAGTTTTTCTATCCTCTGCTTTAAACTGTGATTCACAACTCTGGCTGGGAATGAGAATTGACTGAGTTAACTTTTTAAACTTCAATTCCTGAGCCCTACTCCAGACCCACTGATACAAGATCTCTGCAACGGTAAAAACCTCCACCAGCTTGAGAACCAGTGCTACACCAGAGAACTCCTTCCAGGGACATAAGAGGCACAGATCGAAGACAACTTCTCCTTGCTTCAGTCCAAGATCCACACTGTCATTCAAGAAAATAAACAGATGTCTTAGAACAGCTGTATGCTGTCTGTGAAGGTTATCCAAGAATGTAGAAAACTGGTTTAACAGTTTCAACCTGAACTTGAAAATGAGCTTTCTCGACATACCCATGATCAAGCCGTTAAAATGATACTGTCACAAAGTTCAATGACAACATTTCTCTGGCAATCCTGTTTTCAGAATATTATCTGCTTATCTTACAATAACTAAGTCTTACTATTAGCAATTTTCTTTGAAGTTAAAATACTCAAGATTCCTAAGTGCAGTCGCTTATATCGGTTTATCATTTTGCCATGTGCTGCCTGAGTGTACAGTATTCCTCTTTGGCTCACAACAGCAGAAACATTTAAGAGTTCATAAGGACTGACTCAGCATTCCACCAAAATGACATTGAGCCATAAAAACTGATAAGGTGAGAAATTCACCTCTTCACGGACTGCACATCTGGTCAGCACAGCACTGCACTGGAGCCGCCAGCCCATCCATAAATAATCAGAAGTCTGATCATTTCTGTTAGCATTTAGGACAAAAATGGAGCAAGAATCATCTTCTGGGGTTCATCTCTCTAAACTGCGGAAAGTTCATAATACAGAAAGAGGGAAATGGGGTTGGGGAAGAGGCATAGAAATCAGGGGTCACATTTAGTGGAGGTCACCCAGAGGATGAGATGATGCAGACTGTGTAACTTTGTCTTGAAAGGAGATCTACCTTTTTCCTCTTCTTCTAGGAAGATGCTCCAGGTGGGTGGTGGAGTTTAAGGAGGAATGTGCTTAAAGTAGCACTGTGGTCAACACAAAGGGCCTTGGCCTGGGTCTCTGGCATGCTGGGATCCTTAACCTTGGTGCTGCAGGGACCTGTGCCATGTCTCACCCACAAATGCCAGATCTAGGGAAAACAAGGCAACCCCCGCCCGGAAGCCCTCATCTTCCTGGGCTTCACTTTCCTCATCTGTGGAAGGAAGAGGTTGAACAAGATCAAGGTGATTTTACACAGGGTACTGGGCTCTGGAGACAAGTCTGTGAACCTCTTCACAATGTTATGTAAGATTGTGCATCTGCCTTGTTTAGGATTAGTTAGTTGCTAAGAAAGTCCTATATTTGTTTCAGGTCTATGATATAATGATTCAAATTTTAAAAAATAGAAAAAAAAATCACAAAATATTCATTATATTAATAATGGAAATCTGGTTTAGTTCAGTGTGAGCTGTTATGGATATACTGTAAAAATTTACAACAAAAAAGTCCTCCTAACCCCAAAAGTTTAAAAACCAGTGGTCCCGGGCGCCTGGGTGGCTCAGTCCTTAAGCGTTTGCCTTCTGCTCAGGTCATGATCCCAGAGTCCTGGGGTCGAGTCCCGCATCAGGCTCCCTGCTCCGCGGGAAGCCTGCTTCTCCCTCTCCCCCTGCTTCTGTTCCCTCTCTGGCTGTGTCTCTCTCTGTCAAATAAATAAATAAAATCTTTTAAAAAAATAAATAAAAATAAAAAAAAAAAAACCAGTGGTCCCACTCAAATCTGCCTAAGATTCTAAGATGCTGAGGCAAACATTTTCTAGACTCTATGCTTGCCTTTTTTTTTTTTTTTTTTAAATTAAGTAGGCTCCATGTCCAGCATGGAGTCCAACTCGGGACTTGAACTCAGAACCCTGACATTAAGACCTCAGCCGAGATCAACAGTCCCACGCTTAACGGACTGAGCCACCCAGGCGCCCCATACTCTGCTTTTCAACTTCCTCTTGAAGGAAAACCGCTTACCTTCGTCATCAGTGTTCATAGTTTAGCTCCCTCCCAACCTCAGCTGGTTGCGGGATGGCCTCTTACTGAGCCCCCAAACCTCCAACCTCCGGCAGGGCGCACCGAACTGCAATCTGACTCGGCGGTCCTGCCCGCAACACTTTAATTATAGGAACAGTTTCAGAATCCCAAAAGGGTTCCAAACACAATCAGAAACTTTCTCCGGTCTTCGCGCCAGCGGGGACGAAAGGGGCTTCTGCTTTGCAGACCCCCAGGTGAGGACTCGAGGGTTTTCCCCAGCTCTGAGCAGGGTAGGGATGGGGGGCGCGGTCCTCACTGCGCCTCCGGCCCGCAGCTGCGGGGACCCTCGCCCGCTGGCGTCCGCATCCCCACCCCAGGGGCAAGACCCGAGCTCGGATCTGCACCCCACACTCACCCTGCGGAGCACACAAGGCGCACGGCGAGGAGCCAAACAGCCAGCACCTGCCGGGGCCGGGCGTCCCCGCTGCCTCGGCCGCCGCGGGCTCCTCGATCGCGCCCTGAGGCGCGTCGTCCGTCAGCCGCAGCCCAGGCTCTGGCACCTCGGCTGCCCCGGTGCTGTCCAGGGGCCGCATCGCGCGGCCGGCGCTCTCCCCAGCGCCCCGGCGTCTAGCGCGGGGAGCAGCAGCTCCGCTGCCCTGCTCTTCCGGCCGGCCGTGGGGCGGGGCGCATGCGCGCGCGGCCCTCCGCCCCCTGCCGGGGACCGCGCTTGTCCTCCGCTGCCCTCTTACCTTCAGCTCCTGAAGCCCCTTGCGCAGGAGGAGGCCCGCCACCTCCCTAGTCTGGCGCTGGTGCCCACAACTAGTCCGAGGGCGGCCTCCCCTCTGCTGCGGTCCGGCTAGACTGGCCAGTGGCTTGGAGTCATCCTTCCCCAGGCACAGCTGACCCCTTTCTTTCGTTGCAAAGAGAGGGAGGGGACGCCTGTGGGTCCTGTGGCCTTCTTTTGGGGTAGGCCGTCGGGAGGTTAGGAGAGTGTGCGTTTATTTAATGGTGTGGCACCGCATTCAGCGCCTCTGGAATAACCTGGAGCCCTTGACAAACACTGTGCCTGCCTTTGTCTCCTTGCCAGTTATCCGGGGAAGGTAGAATTTTCCTGGTTTTAGGTAAGAAAAAAAAAAGGATTAGCACATAACCATAGGGAAAATATATCCGTAAGACTGGGGCAGAACCCATTTATATGTTCTTTGTAACAGTTGGCATTCATTATTGGTCTTTTTTTTTTTAATTTCTTTTTTTGGTTAACTGAGACAGCCTAATTTGGTTAGATGTAAGATTCCAATAATCTGACATAATTGCGCCCAGTAAAGTAAAAAAACATATGTCATTTGGCCCCAGGATCCCTGGAATTCAGTAATAGGCTCTTTATGTTTAGGTAGTTCTTTCATCTCTGCTTGCTTTAAATGTGAAAGGACAGTGTCTGGGCAGGGATGAACCTGCCTCAACTATTCTAGGTCCAAGTGCAAGCAGATTACCAACCAAGAGAGTAGTTTGTCTTTACTCAGGTATTTGCAAAAAATGGTCAACAGCTGAAAAATACTGAAGTCAGGAATCCTGGGTTCTGCCTCTGATTCTCTCCCTGAGTATGTGACCTCAGACAGTCACCACCTACTACTTGAGGCCTTGGTTATTTGAGATAAAATATTTCCCTTCCTATTTTGCAGAGTTGTGCAGATCAAGTCCAGTGATGTGGGCAAAAGCACAGTGTCACCTGAAAAGCACTTTACTGGAAAATCAAGGTGTATTTTTATTTATTTATTTTTTTTAAAAAGATTTTTATTTATTTGACAGAGAGACACAGCAAGAGAGGGAACAGAAGCAGGGGGAGTGGGAGAGGGAGAAGCAGGCTTCCCGCGGAGCAGGGAGCCCGATGTGGGGCTCAATTCCAGGACCCAGGGATCATGACCTGAGCCAAAGGCAGACGCTTAATGACTAAGCCACTCAGGCGCCCCACAAGGTGTATTTTTATATAAGGTGAACATATAATTTATCCTCTAAACTGGACCCCCCTTTTATAGAGTAGAAGAAGGAGCTTTCAAAAATTATGCAGGGCAATAGGCATAAACTGGGATTAGTGTAGGCAAGCTGGGACAAATGGCCGCCTGAATTCTAACTTGGTGAACATATACCTTTGCCTTGTCTTAAAAAGAATTTAAGGCTGCTTATAAAACATATGAAACTGATTTTGTTGGTGGTGGTGGTGGTATTTTAGTGGGGAAATTGTAGGGAAGGGTGGTGAAGGTGATAGATCATGATTATGAAGCAAGAACCAAAAAATTTCTCCAAACATCTAGAAATCAAGTGCAGTTTCACAACTGCATTTATTTGTAAGACTTAGATGTGCAGAGTGTTTGAAAAGTCCCTGCAATATTGTGATTTACAGGAAGTATATATTCGGTCATTCACATATTTATTTGCTCTTCAGCCAAGGTTCTGGGCTCACAGCTCTCAAAACCCTTGGAATTCCCTGAGCAATAAGAGCAATGGAAGCAACTTTTGTCTTAATATTTGGTCTCTTGTCCTTATTTCCTAAAATAGCTTCAGAGCCATAAAGGTGTAATGGGCATCTTGTTATTCATAACAAACCTCTTTCTACCACAACTGGGTTTATGTTAATGAGGTTATCTGAAAACACCTAAGGATGGGGCCTTGTTGCCAGGGAAACCATCCAGTGATTAGAGGGTTGGCACTGGCAGTCCCGCTGGACACCTGTGGGGAAGGGGCAGGGATTGAGTTCAGTCACCAATGGCCAATGATTTAATTAATCATGCCTATAATATGAATCATCCATAAAAACCTCCAAAGGATGGAGTTTGGAGAGCTTCCTGTTGGTGAGCACGTGGAGGTACTGGGAGAATGGGTCTCCTGGGGAGCACAAAGAAGCCCTGAGTTCTTTCCCCATACTTTGCCCTGTGGCTCTCTTCCATTTGGCTAGTCCTGATTACAGCTTTTTATAGTAAACTGGTGATCTAGGGAGTAAAATGCTTCTCTTAGTTCTGTGAGTTGCTGTAGCAAATTCATCAAACCTGAGGCAAGGGTCTTGGAACTCCCAATCTATAGCTGATGGGTCAGAAGCACACAAAATAACCTGGACTTGTAATTGGCATCTGAATGGGTGGGGAGCAGCCTCGTAGGACTGAGTCCCTAAACTGTGGGGTCTGACACTATCTCTGGGTAAATAGGGTCAGAATTGAGTTGAATTATAGGACACCCAGCTGGTGTCTGGAGAATTATTGTTTGTGTGGGGAAACCTCCCACTGCCCACCCCCCTCCCCAGTGGAATTGGGTCCAGGAACCCTGTTTCCCTTTTCAATTAGTAAAGATGGTGGTTAGGATGTGTAAGGAAGAAAGAATTGGATGATTTGAGCAAGAAATATCGCCTACTTCACTTTCAATACCATCCTCCAAAAAAGGAGAAGAAAATAGGTACCGTACCAGTATTGACTAGGGTGAGTTAAGGGTGATGGGATGATTTGGGTCTTGCATTTTATTCCCTTTCACTTCCTTCCCCTCTGCTGCCGACAGTGATATATGAAAGATAGCAGTCACTTTAGTTTTTCTTGTTTGCTGAACAAACAAGAGCCACAGAAATATAAAAAGCAACTGATAAGGAAAATAATGGACCAGACTAAGTCAGAAGACTTGCTCCGAGTTGCAGTTCTACCCAGCAGAGGTATGGAGGAGCTAAGTTTTTCTTTGAGCATTATTTCTAGACTCTGGTGACAATGACTTACAGCTGGAGAGAGGTGGGCTTCCCCCACAGGGTGAAGGGTGGGGCAGAATCCTGAGGTGGAGGGAAACCAGCTCAGAGCCCACTGCGGTAGTCTTGAGGTTCTGACCTCAAGGCAGAGGAGGCAGGGAGGAAGGACTGCTTTTGAGGTAGCTGGCAGATAGAGTGGACAGGATTTGTGGACTCATAGGAAGCAACATTGCTTCTGTAGGCAAAATCATGCAGAGTTCCAACTGAAATTCTGCTTCTCAAGGAATTCAATCCTTTAGTGAGAACAGGGGCTCTCACTCTAATGCCAGGTAACCACAGTGGGTGGCACTCCCACAGTTCTGGTATCATTAAGGAAGAAGGAAGATGAAAGTAGAAGAGGGGTGGTGATGAAGGATAGTTGGAAGGCAGGCATGCAGGCAGGGACAGGGCCCCGCCCTCAGAGGAAACCACCCTTAAAGGGATTTTACACCACCCTGGAAGGAGCCCTCCACCCTTTCCCTTGTGATAGATAGATGACAAAAACCTGATTGATGACAGGCACAGGGGGTTAATCAGATTAAAACAGCCCTCCCGGGGCACCTGGGTGGCTCAGTCAGTTAATTGGTTAAACTGCCTTCACCTTAGGTCATGGTCCCAGGGTCCTGGGATTGAACCCTGCCTTGCCTTTTGGGCTCCTTGCTCAGCTGGGAGCCTGCTTCTCCCTCTCCCTCTGCCTGCCACTCCCCCTTTGTGTGCTCTCTCTGTCAAATAAATAAATAAAATCCTTAAAAAATAAAATAATAAGGTTATGGAACCTGGACTGGATCGCCCAACGGAAGAACCAAGTGGCCCTCGAGATCTTGGAGGATAGGAGGTTTATGTAAGGCTGGTGGGCTCAGAGGAGAGTGGTCTCCAAAGGTCTGAGCCCTGAACACAAACAAAGGGGGCAATTTATACACTGCTACTTATGCATACTTGGCACTTTCGGTGCGTGAGCGAAGCGGGGCAGGGAGGAGAACCCAGAAGAGCCCCAGGGCAAGGGCTGGGACTCTCTCGCTGGCTCAGTCGGCCATCTTAAGACAGATTTTCCTTATCATTCCCACCCTTTGATGCCCCTTTATTTTTTTTTAAAGATTTTATTTATTCATTTGAGACAGAGAGAGTACATGAGCAGGGGGAGAGGGAGAGGGAGAAGCAGGCTTGCCGCTGAGTCAGGAGCCTGATGTGGGACTCGATCCCAGGACCCCGGGACCACGACCTGAGCAGAAGGCAGACGCTCAACCATTTGAGCCACCCAGGTGCTCCCTTGATGCCCCTTTATTTTTTTTTTTAAGATTTTATTTATTTATTTGACAGAGAGAGAGACAGTGAGAGCAGGAACACAAGCAGGGGGAGTGGGAGAGGGAGAAGCAGGCTCCCCGCAGAGCAGGGAGCCCGATGTGGGACTCGATTCCAGGACCCTGGGATCATGACCTGAGCCGAAGGCAGACGCTTAACGACTGAGCCACCCAGGCGCCCGATGCCCCTTTAAACACCTAGTTTAGAGAGCATTTTCATCTCCTAAGGGGCGATAATGAGTAAGGAGTAACTGGAGTCTGATTTAGCAATTTGAGTAGTGATAACCTAGTAAGGGCATTAAGAATACAAGGACCAAATGCTACTATGAGGAGAATAGGAGGGGGCCGACTAGGGGGGCGAACCAAGGGAACCATTGTGAGAGGGTATCCCACCAAGTTGTCGGCTGGAGTGATTCCCACCGGCGATGTACTCTTTCCTGTAACTGGGTCAGAGTTTCTTGGACCACCCCCGACTCATTAGCATAGAAACAATATTCCCCCTGTAAGAAGAGGCAGAGCCCCCTTGTGCGGCCATGAGCAA